CAAATGGAAAAAAGTTAAATGTCTTAAAGTTAATTAAGCATACTTCTTGCGCATAAACCCTTAATGTTGAATTATGGTCTGTTTAGGGGGGCCAAAAGCCTCGTTTTCACGAGAAAATTGCGTAATCTTAAAACTTTTATCCTTAAATAGACATCTAAAAAACATAATACATCTTTTGTTGCGACTAATTTTTTAATTGTCTTCCGAAAGAACTATGCAGCGCTATTAATTACTAACTGATGAATGACACTATAAAAAAACAACCGGATCATCTAAACGTAGTTTAATCGTTTCAAAGTTCCTCAAGATCGTCTTCTCAGTCGCTGCACACACGCTCTAAGCGTAAAGCTCTTTTTCACTCTGACAATAGAATCCTCATTCACCCCAACCATGATCTATCTACTAGGAAGCCCAACTGAAGCATAAAACCACCTTGAAAATCATAGAGATTTAGTTTGCATGGAAAATATAAAGCCTTGTGTTTTCTTCACAGGGCGGCAGAAGACTGAGATTTATGATCTCTTAATGTCTTTCGAATTTCTGCACAAGCAATACGTGTCAGAGAAGATTTACTCAAGATGTGCTTCGATTTCTTTAAAAAACATGCCAAACCTCGCTTAATCTTTCCCGGATTGTCCACTCTCAATCAGTTGTGTACCCATGCCCATCCTAGAGATAAAGAAAGACCCCTTTCCTCTGTTTTCTATGTGAAATTTTTATACCCTTTTTACTGAGATATAATACCAAATGATAAGGAATTTCGCACAAAAGAAGAAAGTGAACAGAAGTTCCTTCTCTGCTACACTCTAATTCTGTTACACTATTTTGGAGAATACTGAAGTTTATATGATTTTTTGTTTTTATAGGTTTATAGGTTTGTCTAGAATGGCGATAAGTAAAAAAGGAATACACTGTATAACCAACTACCAACATAACTATTATAATGACCTTTATTTATACAAAACCTGATTTTGCAAATGTTGTATTGAATCAAATTGAGGCGATGCTCTTGCTAAAAATCTTTGAGATCCTGTGATATTGTCAGCAAAGAGTAATCTTGGCCTAGGTGTGTTGTAGAAAGCACATTCAGTGATTTTTGCAGATTCAAAAAGTACTCATTTTCCAGTTTACCTGTCCTAGGTTTGAGGAAAGACCACCCCTTTCAGAAAAATCGTCCAAATGAGCTTGGGTACACCTGACAGTGTTGGCGGGATTTACCAACTGACAGTACTCTCGAAAATACTTACTTTCTATTTGAAAAAAAATTGGAAACAAAGTTGTTGCAAGCTTCAAGGATTCGTCAGTAAAAATAAGCTGAAAAATTAAAGGAATAAAAAAGAGCTTTGAGAGAGACATTCTTGGCCTTATAGTTGTGCACTCGAACAAGCACGATGCAGGTGTAGATCTCGAGACAACTCAATCGTATCCACTTGCAACTACGTCAATGCCTCTCAGCATAGCAGATGGTGCCATCAGAAGGACTGTTAAAGATAAATTGCATCAAACTGTCATAATTGACCATCGTTAGCTCCGATGAACTAGCATCTGCGTAGAAATTGAACAGGTATGACTTGGACCTTGCTGCAGCCAAATGTTTGCTTTGCCCTACATATACCAAGAGACAAATGGAGACCGAAATACCTGTACTGCTACCATTCCAGACCAGTGCACAAAAATTGTGACAGTCTTTGACAAATACAAGAACAACAACATATTAAGGATTATGAGAAGCTTAGATAGGTGAAGTTAGCTATACGCCTTAACAATCCGACATCAGGGTGCTATATGACTATCAACAGCTTTCATATCAATGAAGGAAGCAAATAAGTATTGTTTAATTCTTTTCAGCTTGCAATTAAAAAGGATCGTAGTCAACTCTTTAGCAGGCCAATGATCATTTCAAACAAATTTCAGTGTACGAAAGCTACAGAGGATCATGTTGAAGTTCTCGAAAACATCCTAACAAAATTCTCATCCCATGAATTGGGTGGAACGAAGATTTTCATAGATTCTCGTGGTACTTGAAAACAAAGGAAGATAATAGACATGCACGCTTTTTCTTGCTATAACTATGTTTCTAGTTATATTTGGTCCTGTATTTCATAGAAATCAAAGCACATCTTGAGTGAATCTTCTCTGACACATATTGCTTGTGCAGAAATTCGAAAGACATTAAGAGATCATAAATCTCAGTCTTCTGCCGCCATGTGAAGAAAACACAAGGCTTTATATTTTCCATGCAAACTAAATCTCTATGATTTTCAAGGTGGTTTGATGCTTCAGTTGGGCTTCCTAGTAGATAGCTCATGGTTGGGGTGAATGAGGATTCTATTGTCAGAGTGAAAAAGAGCTTTACGCTTAGAGCGTGTGTGCAGCGACTGAGAAGACGATCTTGAGGAACTTTGAAACGATTAAACTACATTTAGATGATCCGATTGTTTTTTTCATAGTGTCGTTCATCAGTTAGTAATTAATATCGCTGCATAGTTCTTTCGGAAGACAATTAAAAAATTAGTCGCAACAAAAGATGTATTATGTTTTTTAGATGTCTATTTAAGGATAAAAATTTTAAGATTACGCAATTTTCTCGTGAAAACGAGGCTTTTGGCCCCCCTCAACAGACCATAATTCAATTTGTTATGCGCAAGAAATATGCCTAATTAACTTTAAGACTTTTAACTTTTTTCCATTTGAACTGTTTTTTCATTAATTACTTTCATGTACGCAAAAACGAAACTTCAAACATGAAAAAAGGCTGATGGCCCTCCAAAATCCCCGTATAACATCGATTTTCGAAATCAGCTCCCTCGAATTGACCAAAAGCATCTGGTCCTATAAATTTCTCCCTCGAGTGACCATTCCCCTATTCTCCGCCTGGTCTATATAACATGTAAGATAATGCAGAATTTTTGAAAAATGAGAAATCGATAAACGGTATGGAGCATCACTGCTGAAGTACATAGTATAGTCAAATGAACAAAAGAAAAAAGCTGCTTCAGAATCTAAAATAGTCACTGATTGGTTTGTGTGCAAACGCTTTGGTCTTTATCTTATTATTAGATATTCCATTCTGCTAGCCAAAGCCTGAAAAGCCAAAGCCTAAAAAAGTCAAAGGCATCATCTTTCTGCAGATGCATTGCTCTGCCTATAGCGAGCCGATGCGAATCAATGGCCGGAAAGCAATGCATTTCGCATGACATTCGATGCAACAGATCAACAGATAGGAAAAATCTATTTGCCATGCGCAAAGTAACCACAGGGCACCGAGCGAAATCCGCCATAATGAAATATTGCCGTTCTTATGAAATTGTTATACGCAACAATGATACCATAAACATATTTATATGTTTACTTTTGAGCAAAGGTGCAAAAAAGGAAAAAGAAGTGTGGAAGAATACAACAAACGAGATGATTTTTAGATAATTGTTAATCCTTTAAAAGGCAACGAAAAGGTTCGTACGTTTCTTCGCGTTGTTTGATAACATGTTATCAGCTAACATAAAAACATCAAATATTTGGGCAGTTCCTAAAAAAACTTAAGTTTTCGTATATATTTGTAGCTCAAAACTCACAAAACTAAAGCGTTTAATCAAATGCTAAATTTAATCTAGTCTTTTCCCAGTTAAAAAAAATCATCATTCCTTTGTCTGCACTAAAATCTTCCGGGTCCAACATGTTTTTATATCCAACCATAAAGCTTTCAGCAGTTTATTAACAGGATCAAAAGATTCCATCAAATATTGATTGAGCCTGATCATAAACTTTCGCTTCCGTTAATGTACGTATGTTTCTTGTTCATGGATTATGGTGATCTCAACCGACAGCTTGTAAAAATTGGGGAGATTTGATTGAAGGAGACTGCTTTTCAACTGTTGCTAATTTTCTAAAAAAGTCAGTGAAATTGATAATGGCACATTAAAGGTTTCGTACATTTTGAGCAACAAAGGGGTTGCTATCTGCAAAATTAAGCGTCCCTGCAATACACTCATCTTTTTATAAGAAACTTACGGTGGCCCACAACTGTCACGGCTAAAAAAAACTGCTCACGGCTATAAGAAATTGCTTACGTCTATAAGAAATTGCTTACGGCTAAAAGGAAACACTCAAGGATAAAAGAAGTTGCTCACTGGGCCGAGGTTCCTCGAACTGTACCATGGGAAGAATATGGTCAGCGGTTCTCAGCGAGTGCCACCTTTCTTCTTCGTAAAAACATGTTCTGCTATAACTGTGGGCATTCGATTTTAGATGGCAGCAAATTATGCTCCAACTGCGGAAAAGGTAGGAACTGAAAAAGTGATAATCAGCGAAATTTTGAAATAATTCTTCCCTGAATGCAGAGACCGCCCTCTTTGACAGTTTGTAGTGATGCATTTATGGTATTCCAACGTACGGAAACTCCTAAAACGGGGACACACTGGTATTTTTGATTTTTTTCAAACTTTCCGATTTTAGGCCGGGCAAAAGTGATAATCAACGAAATGTTGTTAGTCCGTAGTGCAGACTTCCGCTTTTTCTGTATGCTCATGGCTGGTCTGTCTTCCGCACTGGGTCCACGGAAGTGAATATTTATAATATGGTTTGAGAATTTTGGCGTACTTGGTTGTTATTTGACCATATTTCGCAGTATTTCGCAGTATTTCGCAGTATTTCGCAGTATTTCGCAGTATTTCGCAGTATTTCGCAGTATTTCGCAGTATTTCGCAGTATTTCGCAGTATTTCGTTTCGTTTCGTTTCGTTTCGTTTCGTTTCGTTTCGTTTCGTTTCGTTTCGTTTCGTTTCGTTTCGTTTCGTTTCGTTTCGTTTATTATAATAAGCCGACGTGTCAGGGATTTAAGAACCGGCAAATGTAAACATAAGCACGCGATACAATGACCAGCGGCAGACATTTCTCCTAACTGTTATTCGATGCTAAAACCGTGGCATCCAATCATCGCCTGGCGTATCAAGAAGCTAATTAGCTCGGCAGATTTACTTGCGAACATGAAATACAAAATTGCTAAGATAAAAACATACATGCAAAATCAAACTTACGAACATAGATTTTAGTTTATAATTGCAACATAAACATCTATGCGACGAATCACAACAGCCAAACGTACAGAAACGGGTCCAAGTTGATTCCAATAAAGTTAAAGTTTACTCGAGAAATACAAACACTTTCAAAAGGTCACACATGAAACACATCGCCTTCAAAACTAGTACCAGGTCTTCTTTTGTCATCATTATTTCGGCTTACACAATGGGCAATAATTTCAACATTGGACAGTTGGACAGGGTACGGTAATTCTGTTCCACAACATAGGGAGTTAATTAAAGGTGAAGTTAAAATGAAGGGTCATAGGATATTGCTTCAAATTGCTGTACGTTTGAAAGGGGTTCTAATTTGACAAGCATGGGCTAAGGATAGACAAACTTGAAATGATTTCACATGCAATGGTTCTTGGCTTCATACCTATTCCATCAATTCTGAAAACTGAACAATTCAGTTAAGTCTGCATGTCAGCTTTCATGAGACAAGTGCTTTCTATTTAAATTTTATATGATGAAAAATCTTACAAGAATTCTACTAAATTTGACCGTTTAGCAACTTAAGGTGAAAACGTTGCTTTGCGGTCAAATTCCTTGTTTTTTTTTAAATGAAAAACTGAATCTGGAATAAGTTATCGTGGTTAATTTTAATTTAACCACATAAAGTGGTACAACGAAGATTTGGAGCAGTGCAAAAACAAGGCCGTTAGTTGAAAAAGTGCATTCACAATAAAACAAAAACGACTTGGTGATTCATTCGGATTACATAGCGGATTCCTGTTGATATTTTGGTTGACTATATATGTTCTGCTGATGCAATCCACTAGATCGCCGTTTGCAATACAGACGGATACCAACAACTATTAATGAAATCACAACTGAACATACACCGATTATTGTGGGAATTGCCCAAGGTGCAAGGCCGTCACCTCCACTGAATTTACCTAAGAAAATCAACCATAATTACAAACATGAAAATAAGCTTCTGGAGATTAATACAGATATAAGATATAAAATATAACTAATAGTTAAATTGGAATAAAAATACCATTGTAATAAAAATCCGAGTTTCATGTATGAGCAATCATCAGGTGTACGTATAAAAGAACACAAACTAACGGCAAGCAAGATATAACGGTAAAAACGAATAATCGAACACAATCAAACGAAGTAAATTGCATAGAGTGATAAATCGTAACAACTAGTCTAAGATTGAAAATTGCTAATAAATAGTTTTTATGGCGTCTAAATTGGCTTACAAATTGTGTTCTGTTGTTAAGTACAGATTAATATCTTTACTGTCAAGAAATCCACAAAGTTCCCTAACCAAAACCATTGGTTGAAGATGAGGCAGCAAGAACTATTTTGGGTTTCTTAGTTATGGCATTCCTTAGTTATAAAACCCCGTAAATTCGCATAATTAGGTATATTGTAGACTGCCAGAGTCCCATTTCAACTTACTCAATCGGGGTCCAAGTTCTGTCTACAATGAAAATATTTAATTTTTTTATGAAGACGACAGTATGGTTTGCGATTCTGAATCAATCTCAAAGACTAAAACTAATGAAAATTCAAGCAAAAAGAGAAACCCGAGTTTCTTATAACCATCCAAACATTCTGGTTCTTTATACAATAAATTATCAAATGTTGAAAAAAACAAAAACAAGCGGTTACCTACCGTATTCATAGTCACAATTGGTGCCTCCGAAGTTACCAGGGCAATTGCAAATGTACTTTTTGGAGTAATAAAGGTTCGAGCAAACTCCTCCATTCTGACATGGACTTGATCCACAGAGTCCAATGTCATTGGTGCAGTTGATACCAGCTGACAACCTACCATAGCAGTCACATTTGTATTCACCGTAAGGCAAATCGTTGCACCGACCCTTGTTGCCACATGGCATAAGCTTCTTACAGACCTCTGCAAAAATGAGATTCAAACTTCTTTAAAATTTATGGGTACCATAGGCATATAAATCCAAGGACAGAAATAGAAAACAGGGTTGCACATCTCCTTCTCCGCTTCTCTCTTCCATTTCTGCCCTCGAAATTTTGTGGCTCTGGTACTGAGGTAGACACTTCACAGTGGCGGATTTGCTAACACATTCAGAAAAAGGGTAGTGCTGCATGATTAAACATGCAATTATTATTTCGCGATTCTATTTCGTTGCTAATCTTGGCTTACTTTGCAAAATAGTCAGCGCCAGAATGGGAAGGTGGAAGGAGAGGAGGGCAGAGATGGAAATCCACTTCCTAAGAAGAACCAATGGACGGCGGGTATGGAAATCAGGTAAGTTTAACATTATCTAAGTTCAGGGTAATTGTGAAGCAACAGCTAATACTGCCATGGTTAATGGCTTTGAAAAAATTTCCACACGGAAAAATACCAATCAAGAATAACATCAACACAGAATAGTACCTATGCCAGCTGCTAGCTAAAGAATGGCAGTGACAGGCATTTGAAAAAAACATTATTGAATTGTAATAAAAAGCCGTCAAGACCAACCATGATTTTCAAAGAAATCCACTTTAAATCCTTTTGGCTTATTGTCCGATTGTTGGTAAGATCTGAATTCCAAATAAATTGTGCTGCTGCTTGACGTGAAAGGGTACGACCTACGGCGATATAGCGATCCCTTTATCGTGCGTGCCAGTGGAGCTGAAGAATTCAATCCATTATATATTCTGAGCTCGTCGCTTGAAATATAGGAGAACTGGAGGTCCAACTGGCGAAATATAAGCTTAATTTTGTAGCCATTTCGTACTTGAATCAGATACGAACATAACATGTTTCCTTTGTAATGAGAAGGGTAATATGGAGAGTAGAGTGTTCCATTCTGACTTGAATAGAGAAACCTGCAAGCTAAAGAAATATGCTTCGTGAACTATTGAACTATTGAGCATCCAGGTAACAAATGTTTCCTAACAAGTTCTATTTCTCAATGATTGCTGTAGCTACCGCAAAGCTTCAGACAAAAATGATTTGATAGAACCTCTTCCCAAAAGGGAGAATCAATTTTTTTTTAATTTTTGAAACAAGGATAAAACAATAAGTGGGCCTGAATGGTTATATATTTTGGGGAAATCGAATGAATTCTAGATGATAGAAATAGTTTAAGAAATGTTATGTTTAATCAACATCCAAATTCCTATTGTTTCTTGCCATTATTCAGTCCATTGGTCTCAACCAACCGTAAAGTGCAGCATATGGGCATGCGCATTAGGGCGAAGGCAAAATTAACATCGAATGACACTTCGCAGCATTCAATCAAATCTATATATATCATAGGTGAGTTTCGTTCTCACTTTTTTCGTGAGAAATCGGAAATTTTCTCGAAATTTTCTCTTCGTCTCCCCAACAACTACTAATGAATACTTCTACAAAAAGCTATGAAGGTTGAGAGGAGACCCATTTAATAACAATACTTTAGTAATAATGGCACAATACCTTAGTAAAATATACTACTTGTAAAGACTTACCATCATAATTGATACTATATCCTGTTTTTGCAATAGTATCATCGGACTTGAATTTTAAAATCACGGTTGAAGATTGCGAAATATAAGGGGTGACGTCATTTCCGCATCTTTTTGAAACCAATTTCTGATTAGAAATAGGTCCTTCGAAAATTTTCAAACTGTCTTTGGAACAATCTTTACTCCATTCCAGATCAAAGTGTGAGAAGTTAAGGGTGACATTGCTTCCTGGCACTCCAAGTATTTCAACAGTACATGACAGCCTATTTGAATACTGATTCGGAAAGCCTTGAGAGCTAATTTTGTTTTTCGTAAAGTCATAGGTTTTGTTGCAACCTGTAAAAGAAACAGCCTGAAATAGATTGATGAAACTTGTTTGAATAGGAGAGAGTTATTCAATGGTTCGAAAAAAGAAATTTGCAGAAAGCAAAGAAAGCTGAATATGAATTGAGACTTTTGTCCAATGGTGTGGTAGTTTTTTGGTCACGAGTAAAACTAGATGTTAAACGTTCATATGATCAAATCACTTTCAGAGGCTACGTAAAGCGCGTTACTCAACAGTTTGCTATATTAAGGTCGTTCATCTACAATATACAAATACCCTAATTATAAATTATACAGCGCCACCTACGCAAAAATGAGTCGTTTTGATATAAAAGGATGCAAAATTAACAATTAACTTTATACTGTATAGCTATCAGAAAACCGAAGATTAATCAGAAATAGCACAATTGAATGTTTAAACGATAATTTCCAAAAGAATTCTTGCATGCAAAAGAACCAGACAAATACCTACTAATAGATGTTCGCAAAAAGTATGCTCGGAATCCTTTTGCAGTAACCCTGTCATTGGATCGGAATTGAACAAACATCTCTTTGCCACTGGCAATCACACTTCGTCTACGAGTAGATCCACAAAACTTTTCTAGAATGTTTGCATTTGCGTCAGGTCCGTCATACACAGACAGGCTGTCAGCTTCACACGATGGGCTCCATTCCAGATCCAAACTCGTTATGAAGAGGTATGTAGTGTACTTTTTATCCTCCTCATCTGATGATACGAGCATTGTATAATTGCAAACCATATTATTCGTATAATTACTAGGAAAGCTATTCGATGCAAAGTCGTCAGAAAATTTCTTGTCACGAAACACTAAATTGCAGCCTGAAAAGAAGAATCATAACGATCAATTCAGACATGTTTTTGGGTATGTAAAAACAAATACATAGAATTGGATTAGCAGTTTTAAGATTATCCAAGACACTTAATTGCTGTAGAATGTCCATATCTTCTTAAATTCAAAAGTTCTCATGACTTTTCCAATTTTTCTTGAGTTCCTTTCTTCGATTATATATTAGTTAATGAATTGAAATTCCCTATTTCCACAAAAATACAAGTATTTGGAAACGAAGTCTTCATTTTATTTTCCTCACAAATTCAAATTCAAATACCCGGGGAAAGCAGTTTGCCCTGATGCCATTACGGATATAGTGTAATTCGGCAGCCTACAAAAAGATGGTACCAATGTTGTATAAACAAGAGGTCTACAAACATATAACCCGGTATCATGTCATGGTTGTCTCGAATCAATATAGTGTAAAAGGGTAATTTACAAAAATTAAAAACTCTTTTGTAGATTGAAATGCGTATAGTACCCACAATGTGTAAGGGGGTTATTAACAACAATACAAAATACTGGCATAGTTGCAACAGTGTAAAAAAGGTCTTAACTGTACCCTTCATTTTTGGAAATATAGAAAGCACTAACCATTTGTTGAGTTGTAGTCAATGTAAAAGCCACTGTAGTCGCTGTTGTTTTGAGAATGAAAGGTAACCTTAACTGCGTTTCCGGACGAATAATAGGTAGAGTAGGGAAGAAAACCGGTAGAAATATCCGAGCCGTTCCTTTTTTCCACAATTTGAACAAACTTTGCTACCCGTTGCATATCAAAAGATGGATTTAGGAAGATAAGTTTGCCCTTTTCAGTGTCGATTTTGTAGCTACAGTTGACGTACTCTGGATAAAGACTTCCATACAGTGGTGAATAAATTCTACCAGATGCTCCATTGAAAACTTTATCACAGCCTTTGGAAAACAATAAAAGAAATTATTTCAATAGTCAGTTCTCCTTGAAAAAGTGGTTTTTGCCTTTATTTATTTTAATATCATCTTTTAAATGAATCAACAATTATTTTGCTTCGAAAGCCTACAACTTCATTACTTTTTCGTAGATACAAAAACCATATTCAAAATCTTCCAAAGAGGAATGAGAGAAAAGGAGTGCCCTACAAAAATTATATTCAGACCATTTTTATGCCGGAACCAAATTCGATATGATCATTAAACATTAAACTAATTGTATATAACATAAGAAAATAACAAGAAATAGGCCAAAAATTCCCAAATCGTATGAAGGGGAAATGAAAGACAGAATGTGCTAACCAACCTTTCATTCCAATAGAGTAATATATTTGAAAGCCAAGATCTTTTTTAACCGTTGTTGTTGTTATAAACGAAGCCATGTAGCTCATCGTTATAACATTTGTTGATGACAGGTAGGATTGGAACTGCTTTCCACAAACATTAGCCACTGATTTTCCAGAATCGAATTCTCCATCCTTGATATCTAATGGGCTGCTCTCACAGGTAATGTCACTTCCAAAGCGGGAGAAAAACAGATGGATTTTCATTCCATTTGCAGCTTTTATGCGGTAGGTGTAGTTGAATTGATGAGGAAAAGAATTCACTAAAAAATGAGGAGATACAACAAGCCCTTCTTGTGCACTAAGCTCCATCTTGAGACCTGAAAAAAATTCAATTAAATCCTCAATTATCAAAACGTTATCGTGATAGACAATAAAATGTTCATGAATATCCATTTCTTTTTGACAATGTTTCAAAAGATAAAATTTTATCAATTTTTTATCAAATTTTTAGATGATTTTGTTAGACAATGTCCAAGAAATTTTAGTCTGTCTTGGAAAATTAGTTTCTATGTAAACAAAAAGGAGTATGATAACAGAGCGGACACAAGTTTTACATTGCAAAAGCGGACATGTTCTCACCCTAGCAAACCTCGTAGAATTCTTACCCTAGCAAACTTCTACCATTTGGTTTGAAGTTTGCAATCTAAAGTCTAAAACTCAGCAGCTACGACGAGCTAATTCATCATCAATATAGGATTTCAAACCTTCGAGCACTTTGAACCGAAGTTTGAATTTAAAAGCCGTCCGCCTGTTCCTAGCTCTGTACACAAGACGAACGTTGCTCTGCCGGGATACATAAGGAATGTATATCCCTTTATTTCCAAAGCAATAATACGCCGTTCTCGACCATTTCCCTTGCCACAGCTCGTAGATCTTAAGACCTCCAGATAAACATCCTGCTGCCCGATATGAATCAGTCGGAAGAATTTCTAGAAACTGCAGCTGAATGTGCTTTCCTTCCAAGGCGGTAATCATATACTGGCATCGAATTGAATCTTGAGAAGGAGGATAAGGAAATTCAGGGGATGATATCTCGCCACTGGTTGCAACGAAGTTGAAGTCACAATCTGAGGAAAATAAGTAAATTAAGAATGAAAAGTTGGAATAGAAATGTCAGGTACAGATCTAATTGAAAAGAGAAAGAACTGAAGACGAAATTTTTACGTAGTCTTTTAGTTAGAAAGATGTTTAAAAGGAGAAAAGTATTCGTGGGAGTTATCATTCATTCTTATATAACATTGAAACTGCAATTGCTAGAGTGCTTTATCTTCTAAGATATGATGCTAACTTCTCTAAAAACTAGTAACAATTTTACAAAAAAAAAACGATATTTGGAGTCTATTAGGTTCCACAAGTCCGCTATTCGGTCCCCCACACCCATGCGAAAGTGTCTGGGGGTATCGAAACGCATAGCAAAACGACACTATGCAAAAATGTCCCCTCTATAAAACAATAGGGGGACACTTTTGCATAACAAAACTGTATTCAAAAGTGTCCCCTCTATAAAACAATAGGGGGACACTTTTGCATAACAAAACTGTATGCAAAAGTGCCCGGGGGACCGAAATGCATAGAAAAACGACACTATGCAAAAATGTCCCCTCTATAAAACAGTAGGGGGACAATTTTACATAACAAAACTGTATGCGAAAGTGTCAGGAGGACCGAAACGCATACAAAAACGACACTATGCAAAAGTATCCCCTCTATAAAACAATAGGGGGAACCTTTGCATAACAAAACTGTATGCGAAAGTGCCCGGGGGGACCGAAATGCATAGAAAAACGACACTATGCAAAAGTGTTCCCTCTATAAAACAATAGGGGGAGACTTTAATATAACAAAACTGTATGCGAAAGTGTCAGGAGGACCGAAACGCATACAAAAACGACACTATGCAAAAGTCTCCCCTCTATAAAACAATAGGGGGACACTTTTACATAACAAAACTGTATGCGAAAGTGTCAGGAGGACCGAAACGCATAGCAAAACGACACTATGCAAAAGTCTCCCCTCTATAAAACAATAGGGGGAACCTTTGCATAACAAAACTGTATGCGAAAGTGCCCGGGGGGCCCGAAACGCATAGCAAAACGACACTATGCAAAAGTGTTCCCTCTATAGAACACTATAAAACAAGAAGGGGACATTCGCCTAAAAACTGATTGCCCTATCAAAAACTGATTGCCCTATATAAGAGGTCAATAATTGAAATATTTCTCTGGTTAAGTGATAAATTGTTAAATAATTCATCAAAATGTCTTATTTTAAAAAGTGATAAGATCAATAAAATACAATTGAATTTCTTCAAATTTGTAATGGTGTAACTGTTGCTTCAGTGCAATTACCATCACATTTATTAGTTTCTTTCAAATTATTGGCTAAAAACCATTCTTAGCAAAACATGTTGCTAATGTCACATTGCAAACAGTGAAACAGTGAAATTGTAGAAAATATCGCGATAATTGAATGGAAACAAAGTAATGTTTATTCGTAACTGGATGGCGAAAATTTAAGGGAATCGTAAAAAACTTTATTTACATCTGATAAAGAGAGAAAATTACAGCTCAAGAGGTATGACCATTGACATAGGAACATAGCATACAGTGGAATCTCATTACAAAGAATCCCGGATATAATGAACTTCCTATATAACGAACTGTTTTCTTGTTCTCTTCAGAAATCGTTATATAGGGATTCCACTGTATTTGTTATGTTAAATAAAATCAATAGGTAAAACCAACCTATAATTTCATATTCGTGTGAGACCATGCTATCCAGTATTTCGGTCTTGGCTACCGTTAGCAGACGTATCGTCTTATAATGCGATTCGAGGTGCACACAAATTTTAGCCTGGGTATACATTCCACAGCAAAGTTCCAAATGGCAGAGTCAGAGAAAGAGTGGGTGGGACATTTCGGTATAATTGATTTTGTATTTCGTCGTGTTCCGATGAGAAAATTTTGGTAAGGGGTAACGTAATTTTTTAGGAAATTATTTTACCTAATTTGATGTAACCAAAAATTAGTCTTAAGCGTATCCTACTGGTAAAATAGCTACTCTCTGGGGTTAAAAAGGGGGAATAATGTTTTCAACTTTTAACGTCGACAAATAATTCATTTTATTTAGACTCTTTGATATCAGAAGGAAGAATGTAATTCTTTGTAAAAAAAGTTCTATGACTCAAGACCAACATACATAGCTGAGAACGACAATTACCAAAATGTCAAAATAGAAAAGGAAGAAATTATTGATGTCATAAAACACCTACCAAAGAGTAAAGCAACTGGCGTAGACCAAATTCCAGCGGAATTATTACAACATTTGGGAGAAGAAGGACTAAATTCCATCACCAACATCATAAACGACTGCTACAATACAGGCATTTTACCGGAGGATTTTCTGCAATCTATATTTGTCACTATTCTAAAAGCACCTAACACAACACTTTGCAACGAACACCGTACAATCAGTTTAATATCACATGCTTCCAAAATACTGCTACAGATTATGAAAAGAAGAATAACACCCTTAGCAGAAAGGAGACTTGGTGAGAACAAGTTCGCATTCAGGAAAAGGAAAGAAACAAGAGATGGTATTTGTCATCTCCGTATACTCAGTGAAAGAATGATCGAAAAAAGAAGAAAATGTTTATCTGCTTCATTGACTACACAAAAGCCTTCGATCGAGTCAACCACAATAAATTGATAGAAGTTTTTGAAAAATATGACATAGACATACCACAAGAAGAAAAAAGGTTAATCAGCAATCTATATTGGAGCCAAACAGCAGTAGTGAGAACTATCAACGGAGAGTCAAGAAGTTTCAAGATAAAAAAAAGGTGTACGACAGGGTTGCAGCCAATCACCAATTCTATTCAATATGTATAGCGAAGAACTTATCCGGGAAGCTTTAGATGACACAAGAGGAATCAAAGTAAATTGTGTCACAATAACTAATATTAGATGTGCTGACGACACGATCATCATCGCAGAAACAGAACACGATCTCCAAGTAATGATAACAAGATTAAATGAAACATGCAAGATCTACGAGATGGAATTAAATGCTAAAAAGACCAAAGTAATGGTCATCGAAAATTTCCGGTAACAAAATCCAAATAACTTCAGGAAAGACTGTTTTAAAACAAGTAAAAAGCTTCTGCTATCTAGGATCACAAATCACAGAGGATGGACGCTGCACAGACGAAATAAGTAAAAGGACAGCAATTGCTAAGATTGCATTCCAACAACAAAAAGAATTGTTCAACAGTAACATCAACAGGAAAACGAAAATGAACCTCCTGAAAACATATGTCTGGTCTGTTTTTATTTGTGGATGCGAGGCATGGACTATTGGGAAAGAAATGATGGACAAGATTCGGGCATTCGAGATGTGATGTTATAGAAGATTGTTGAAGATCAGGTGGACAGATAGGGTTCCCAACGAAGAAGTGCTTTGAAGAATGAATGTAGCCCGTATGCTTCTTACCATCATAGCGTCATGTGGCAAGAGGATCAAGTGGAGCAGTTTTTTGTAACATCGTGAAGGGGTACATTGAACGAAAAAGATCTAGCGGTAGGCAAAGAAGAACTTGGATGGACGATATTGAAGAGTGGGTTAACATCCAGAATTATGGTATCCTGAAAAGTAGGTGTAGTGACAGGGTTTATTGGAGTACCAAGGTTAGCAACCTACGGACCTTGAAATTTGAGGGAAAATTGCAATTTATAGACTTCTTTTACTGAAACATTTTGTATCGAAATACTACAAAATACTACAACTAAATAGCATTTCAAACCCGTCAAATCAAACCCTTGTGCATATTATGTTGTATGGTGACAAAAGATTTTCACATGATAAAAATAAAGAAAATCTTGGAATCAACGCTAAAATTCATTCATACATCAGAACATTTCTTGTAGCACCAGAAAATACCACAATTGTTTAACTTATCTAACATTTCATTGTTCTCTATTTATCTTTTAGCATTAAATGTATAGTAATGTAGAATCAGCACTAAAGACCACACCAAAATCTTGTCCAAATTTTATCTTCTTTTCAAGTTGTAGCCTCTTTGTCTTTTGATCGAACCAGCTATCCGCACGGACTAAACAGGATTTTGGTATAGCCTTTGGCGCTACTGTATTGTTTTTTGTTAAGATCAATCGATAGCCATGCCTATCATGCTCCCATTGGCATCGTCTTTGTTAGCTCGTTCTTGTAAAATGTACTTTTTTAGACTGTGTATAAAAAAGGAAACATCTTGTCTCCAAAAAATCAGAAAAGCACCCAAAGGTTCTTTTGCCAAATAAAAAATTCGCAGCCCCCGTACCCACCGTAGGATGGTCTCCAGTTAGTAACTAATCTTTTTATATTGAGATTTTGTATGAAATATCAGTTGTAAACTTCTTCATTCCCTTTATTTTTTCAAAACCACCACAATTTCCTTTACCTCTTCTAAAAAATACACTGAAAGGCTAAATGGCCATATTGAACTTTGTAATACCCCCACTTTTTCATTGAAATCTGTTATTTGTTTGCCAAACAGGGAAATACCTAGGCACTACCTACCCTTGATGTGGCTAACACAGTTGATTTTGTGCACTTTATATCCATATGCATTTATTCTTATCACATCCATAAGTAATATTATTGATATGGTCTTGCTAATGAAAGTTAAGAACCACAAAATTAAACTAACATTGTAGCCTCTGAACTGGTTAGAAGGTTTGCTAAAGGTCTCACAAAAACTCTGAAGTGAGGTCTGAAGAAAGGTCTGAAGAAAGGTCTGAAAAAAGGTCTGAAAAAAGGTCTGAAGAAAGGTCTGATGAAAGGTCTGAAGAAAGGTCTGAAGAAAGGTCTGAAGAAAGGTCTGAAGAAAGGCCTGAAGAAAGGTCTGAAGAAAGGTCTGAAGAAAGGTCTGAAGAAAGGTCTGAAGAAAGTTCTGAAAAAGGTCTGAAAAAAGGTCTGAAGAAAGGTCTGAAAAAAGGTCTGAAAAAAGGTCTGAAAAAAGGTCTGAAAAAAGGTCTGAAGAAAGGTCTGAAGAAAGGTCTGAAAAAAGGTCTGAAAAAAGGTCTGAAAAAAGGTCTGAAAAAAGGTCTGAAAAAAGGTCTGAAAAAAGGTCTGAAGAAAGGTCTGAAGAAAGGTCTGAAAAAAGGTCTGAAAAAAGGTCTGAAGAAAGGTCTGAAAGAAAGGTCTGAGGAAAGGTCTAAAGAAAGGTCTGAAGAAAGGTCTGAAAAAAGGTCTGAAGAAAGGTCTGAAGAAAGGTCTGAAGAAAGGTCTGAAGAAAGGTCTGAAGAAAGGTCTGAAGAAAGGTCTGAAGAAAGGTCTGAAGAAAGGTCCGAAGAAAGGTCTGAAGAAAGGTCTGAAGAAAGGTCTGAAGAAAGGCCTGAAGAAAGGCCTGAAGAAAGGTCTGAAGAAAGGTCTGAAGAAAGGTCTGAAAAAGGTCTGAAAAAAGGTTTGAAGAAAGGTCTGAAAAAAGGTCTGAAGAAAGGTCTGAAAAAAGGTCTGAAAAAAGGTCTGAAAAAAGGTCTGAAGAAAGGTCTGAAGAAAGGTCTGAAGAAAGGTCTGAAAAAAGGTCTGAAGAAAGGTCTGAAGAAAGGTCTGAAGAAAGGTCTGAAGAAAGGTCTGAAGAAAGGTCTGAAGAAAGGTCTGAAGAAAGGTCTGAAAAAAGGTCTGAAGAAAGGTCTGAAGAAAGGTCTGAAGAAAGGTCTGAAGAAAGGTCTGAAGAAAGGTCTGAAGAAAGGTCTGAAGAAAGGTCTGAAGAAAGGTCCGAAGAAAGGTCTGAAGAAAGGTCTGAAGAAAGGTCTCACAAAAACTTTGAAGCATCAATAAAAAATGAATTATAATTATACAGAAAGACTTTCGAACTTCATATTACAAAATCTATATATATATCTAATAAATCTGACAATAAATACATACATTTTGAGAAAAATAGCTCTGATTCTATTACTTTTTTCTCAATTATTTTTTGTCATTTTTTATGCAAAAAATCTGAAGAAAAATTTCTATTATGTAAGAGCTGTGCAATAAACCCCACAGTAAATACGGGCTAAGTCAGAGAAGATGTAAGCCTTATTCTAGCAAAAAAGTACAATCTCAAGGTATTATTCAGTAAATATTATGACCCCACAATTGTACAAAACAAATGAGGTAATTTTAATGATTGTGAATTGTTGTTCTCATATAAAAATTTTAAGAAACAAAATAATGTATTCTTTCTTTCAATCACAGTAATGTGAAGCCTATGACAGTTGTAGTGTTTAAGTGTTATTAATGATGGTGACATCGTCAAATCAAATCTATACTATACAACAAACATCTCATCCACGGTTGTTTTATTTAAGTTCAGTGAGTAGGAGGTCTCAAAAAATTCAGAAGATGTATTCTTTGCAAAAGAAAATGCTCAGCTCAGCATCAATAGAGAGTGTTTGAAAAACCAATTATGTCAATGTCAAGAACATCCAAGTTGAAAAGGAGATATTCTGAACAATATTACTGTACAGAATGTTGAAGATAAAATGTTTTCAGATAAAAACTTCCTGAATTTAAAAAAATAAGGAGTTTGGATCATTTATTGATACAGAGGATGCCTAAACTTGAGGAGTATACAGTTTATATACACATCTATACTTTGCCTACCTTGTCTCTTAGTTGAAGGGCAAGGATGCAAAAATTCCACCCTTGATTCTAGAGACTTTGAAATTATTTTTCAGAGGTGTCAGAAAGTTTTTGATGGAGGGGCTGGCCCTTTTAACATTGGATAGAATAGATAGATCTGCCCTGTCTAATGCATGCATGCTTCAAGGGGGCACTAGCCCCCTTGTTAAGAATTGTTGGCCTGAGATCTTTCTAATAGAAGACATTTAGTAATGGGTTCCATACCGTATTTATCAAATTCACCGTTTTATAACTCAACTAACTATCAACAGCAAAACGCATGAACGTACGTAAACAAGTCTTTTTAAGAAATCTATTGTGAAATATAAACAATGCATGTTCACACTTTGTGTGAAAAGAACTACAATGTGTCATTGTTTTGCTCATTGTAAAGCTAAATATTTTTTTCTCAACATTTTTTTTCCAGCTAGCTTTCAGTAGCAGCATCTTGGAATCACAATGAAATGGGAATTATTAAAGCAATGTCAATATTCACGATAAATTTCATTATATATTTTTCAATTTGTAGCAAGGCTTAGGCCAAAAAGAGCAGCGATGAATAAAATATATTGTCAACATTGATTGTAGAAATGAGAGAGTGTCTCTAAACCATCAGTTTTTGACACAATTTCACGAATCAAGCTGATGGGCCTAAAATTTTCAAATTTTATTCCAAATCAAATTAAATCAGTAAGCAAGTTTTTGAGAGATGACCAGGCCCTGAAGATATCACTCTTGCATTTAATTTCAATTAAGTTTGAAAAAAAATTGAACAGAATGAGAGAAAAATTTAATTGCAACTTGCCTGAACACAATATGCTTGTTAAAGCACATACATTAAATGCACAGAATGCAAGAAAGTAAGTCATCATACATCAACTGTCCTGAAAAAACAGAAATGAGATAGAATATATAAAAAAACACAACAAGAAAAGAAACTTTAAAGTGTTGTGTGTTGTCAAACTTATATTGCCCTTTTATGGCTCAAGATAGGATTTTCAATATGAAATAAAATAATCCTCATGAAGGAAATTCCCTTTTAGGATTAGTCTAGGCTTCTTATTTGGAATCAACCACTGTAAGTTTACCGAAAAGAAAAGCCCATGTGCCATGTTTTATACATTCTTGTGAAAATCCTAAAAAAACTTTTTCAGCAACTGTAAATTAAAGGGTTGTTTCCCATGTTCTCTGGGAGACTGAAGGGCATGGCTACAGGAAATTTTCTTAATAGGGTCCGGCTTTGTAAATCACCCCTGGGCCCCAGCTGCCTCTCGGCCTCCTTGGGTATACCTTATAACCTAACTCACTGAAATCTAGACAAACTATTCAATTAAGTACCTTGTTCATGAATCTAAACCAATCTTTATCTAATGATCTGAGCAATTCAGTTCAGTTCAGTTCATTCATTTTCTACCCACCGTGAAAAAATGATGAATACTAGAAGTCTGTTTACTATAAGATTAAACTAAAAACATTGCTTTAGGCAGATATAAATCACACAAAGAATTAGAACCTGTATTTAATTTTTTCAATATTACCATGCTAGGCTTATTAATAGCTGTTTCTGTGGTATAATGGTTATTGTTGAGCAGTAATGTTGTGATGCTGATGCTTGGGGTAGTTTTATATTGAAGTTTAATACAGCATGGCTTAAACCATGTATTGCTTGTTATTAATTGTTCTGTATCCAGTGACACAAACACTGCAGTTTCTATCTTCTCCTTTACTTAATTCAAGTCAGTAAATTTTGATTTATTTTGTAAAACTGCAACAAAAGTGATGTGACTATATACTTTTAATTAAAGTGATCATGTATTTTTCCTTTTTTGGCTTGAGCAGTTGTGCTCATATCAACTCTATTTAAAGCCTTTGACATCCTTTGTTTTTTAATAGATTGTCTTTGAAATAAATCTTAGACACAGGTGAATAAAAGTTAAAGACTTGCTATCTAAAGGCAGTAAGATCCAGAAATTGATAAACAAAATTTGACCAAGATCTCAGTTTTCATTCTCACAAACTGTGAGATTTTGAATTGGCAATGAAATAGTTCTGTTTTTTTATAAATAGTTCTGTTTGCTCAGCAAGCATAGGGAAAAGCAATTAACTTGCAGTTAAAGATTCTCCATGGCCCTGAACTAATTTAAGTGATTGAAGTTGGTCTAGTGCAATAGTTTTGTAGTATAGGAAACCATTCCCTTTACATCTTACTGATTTGCTGAATCATCTTTCTCAGATTAGTTTGAAAGATTTTGACTTAGTTAAGATGGGCCTAACAATGTACCTGGATGCTCTGTTGTATCTCAAAAAGTATCTCAGCAAAACTGATGCTATGCTTTTAATATAGACACTGTATCCATGAAATATCAAAATTATTCAATTATCAATTTGCCAAAAGATATAGCGATAAGCTCTTTCATCTTACCAAAATTCTCTACTGGAATACAACGATGATTAGGCTTACGGTGGCTTAAAGATAAATAATGTCAGAATCTTGATAAGAAACAAGACCTTCTGCGGTATAAGACAGAATTTCACAAAGAGCAAAATTAAAAAGCTAGTTTGCAGAGCATGTTCCACTTAAGATGCAGGCATGGTAATGCTGAAAAGTAGACCTTTTAAGTAATAAAATGGAAAAATTGTATATTGTCAAACCTGATATGTCATATCGTGATGCAATTTAGTGCATTTTTCAAAAGTTGATTTTTTAGTCAAATATTGCTGTCAATTCGATCAGTCAGTTAAGTCAGTCATTGCAAGTTTATTTTTTTCTGGTTTTTATTGGCCGGCCTACCTATTGTTTAGCCCTGTGTTCTTCCAGGAAAGAGGACACAGAATGGAAACCCTCGCTTCGGCTTGGAGGCGAGGCTTGTGGTTTCAATGTTTTGTCCAAATAATTTTGGTTTAGTCCATAGTTAGAGATAGGGTAATGGTTTAGTCACACACTGTGACACAGGTAGATGTAATTCCAACTGTTTCATAGGGCTGCCTTGTTTGCCTCAAATAAATAGGTGGGCACGCACGTAAATGTTTTCAAAGGAATAGGAATAATCATATAACTCAATGTTTTTGTTATCAGTTATCGCAAATGTATTTAGCACTCTAATTGTACAAATACTGACAGAAATTGCAATAAATTAAGTATCTTACCTTATAATGTACAACTTTACACCAAAATCCTTCTTTTTTAACAAATTTCGAAATCCACAAAGAAACACAGCAGCGCAGACAGAGAAGCACAGAAGGAGAAGGACAGAAGCCGCACCCGTCACAGGGAGTCTAGATAATCAAGTAAAGGTTACTAAAGCCCTGGTCAAACGCATCCTACATTTCATCCAACATGCAGAAAACCAATGTTGGACAAAATAATGGATGCGTTTGACCACCCGCTGAAAAATATCAACGAATTTTCTAATTTTTCGGGAATAAATGCTGAATGAAATGTCCAGTACATGACTCCATATAACTAGCCAGTGTCATATGCGTTTTGGTACCCAGGGTAGCGTTTTGGTAACCTCATGCATTTCGGCCCGGGCACTCAAACGCATGGCAATTTTAGTTAATCAAAATCCAGACCCCTTTGCAGTCGCGGTTGAATTTCTGATTACAATAACAACAAGTTTTAATTCAGATTAATTTTCGGCGGATAAATTTCGTTGAAAAATTTTCGGACAACTTTTCAGAATTTCGTCGTGGATATTTCACACAAACCTAGCAACATATTACCAAAATCTTAAGAGGCAAAACCATAAGGTAGCTTTATGTTCAGTCCCATAGGTACCGGCCTCGTGGAGACTTGGGGGGTTTGAGCAACCGCTCGGAGTTTTGCTCAACCCCCCAGGCAGCTTTTCACACAGAACTGGATTTCAGGAAAACCAAATTAAAGCGGTATATTTCCTCAATTTATGCGAAGGTGGGGTAAGAAAATTACACTTAAAACATTCAAAGAGTGTAATTAAAAGTATAACTGTGAATGTAAGTATAACATTCGGAAAGCATAAGACAATCTCCAACAGGAAAAGTTGGTGTCGAAATTGTGTCCTCCGTAGAGTTCGAAATTTGGGGTGAAAATTTGAGGTGAAAATGGGGAGGGGTTGGGCAGAGGCGAGTTGAGCAGGGAACCTTGGGTTCCTCACCCATCTGGACCCAAGAAAAAGTCGTTTTCAATCGAAACTAAAAAGGTTTTTTGCAATTAGGGGTGGCGCCCGCCTCCTCGCTACGCCACTGAGTTAGAACTACTTTATCGAGCGACGGTGAAAACGAAGTTAATATTTGTTCCAGGTTACTAAACAAAAACCATTAGCAAATAAGGGTAAGATGATCCTCAGAATTATTTACTATTGTCATTCATAAGACTGAAGGTGGTGTTCTCTCATTGTTTGAACCATTTATGTTGGGCTGTCGGTGCGCCAATCGCAAAGACAGCCATAAATAAAACCCCAACCGTTTTTGAGGGGGTTGAGAAGAAGAGCAATGGCCTTCTTCCGCCGACTAGCAGCATCTTGTTCATGCAAAAAGTCGCAAGCCATACGGCCATTAGCTAATGCACGAAAAAAGTAGTAGAAAATCAACATGCATGAAAATAAAACCCCCTGAAAATTTATAGACATGGGTTGGGTGGGCAGGGTCGCAAAGGAAAAACCTTTCCTCTCCAATGAACTTCGAGTTGTCGTGCAACGTGTGAGAACGAAACTTTGCTAAGACAAAGTTTATATACCCAAGGCCAATGCACACTTGCACGCTTGTTGCTATAGCCGCATAAAAAACAGAATGTAAAGCTTACTCGAGCACTTCTACAATAAACACAAACTCCACAAATGTGCAATCTGTGCCCAAAAAACAAAAGCCCAAGGGGCACCTAAAAGGCGTACCCTGTCACATATCAAACGTGATTAAATTTCATTTAATCAAGCTTTAGTTCAAGAACCGACAATGCTGGTGATAATGATGATGATGCCTACGATAAAGATAATTTTAAAGCTGATGTAAATGAGGAAAATGACGTAATTGATATTGAATGATAAAAAGAATACATAGATTTGATTTTTGACTTTTGAATTTGGTGAAGAAAATTTCATCAATATATTTGTCACAGCGAAATTTTTTATAGTTATAATGTATCTAAAAATCAATTTTGGCCTAAGCACCTAAGTAGGTCCGACCAGCGGTAGTTGATAAGATAGACGTTCGATAGCGGAAGGATGCTAAACCAAACAGAAAGCGAGAAAGACCCAGTCGAGAAGAGCCTGTGTTGTGTGTTTCAGAGAATCGACATTTTTGATCTGGAATGTCTCGATCTGGAAGCAAGAATGGTCTCGAGATTGTGGCGGTCGCACTCTTACAAGTGACGAATTTGCCGAATATTTATTAAAGATCCTGGTAGGAGGAGAAGCAGCGGCGTGGTGGCAGGGGGGGGCCAGGGGGACCACGGCCCCCTGAATAGGGGCACAGTTAGAGATAAAGGGGCGCCAAAATTGTTTTTTGTAATATTTGGCTGGGAACATCAAAATTGATCGTGTAGTCTTCGGGCTGTAAACAATCTAATTAAATGTGAGATTCTACGATTGGAGCATGTTGCGTTGCCATGACCTAATAGACATTTGAGTCAAACAGACGATGTATATATTTGAAGAAATCCCAGAGCATTGTGGCATTTTTGAAAAATGTTTTATTTTGAATGATTAATAAACACCCTCCTCTCAAGAAAGCTTCCCTCTGGGACTGAACAACTAAATAAGCCCCCACGGCTTATTTAATAAGCCAACTAAATAAGCTTAATAGAGTTTTTACTGTAAATTAAAACGAATCAGCCTGAGAGATCGCACTCCACCGTCACTGACAATGTCAACGAGATTAAATTCTCACCGAGACCCTACATTCTGATATTTTAAACATTTTCATAGAAGGCCCTATCCTTCTTACAACCAGAATCTTTACTGAGCTCATATTACGTACCAGACATTTTCTTTGCACATAGCCATTGGGCCCCTATGTTTTATTGTGTTCTAGCAATAAGAACGCGAACTGTATGTAAACCTTATTTACTATTGACTAACCTCCTTATCGTCTCATGGACTTCAAATCAACTCTGATTGTTCTATAATAGAAAGTGACAGTGACAATATTTATAAGCGCGCAAATTTGAAATTCAACAGCAAGGCCCACGCTAAGGGCGCCGGAGCCACGGGGCAGCGGGGGTAGCTGCCCCCGTTGCCCTAGTGGTGTGGGGGCAGCAGAGAAGCAGCAAAGTGCCCTTTTTTAAATTGATTTCCAAGCAATATCAATTTATATCAATATTTTGAATGCTAATGAAATCTAGGTTTCAAGTATCTCTTGATATCTACACGCAAGAAAAAAATCAATATTATCCATTTTGATGAGAACTGGAAATCGATTTGCCAAGCAATTTGACCAAAATTAAATTAACGTTGATGAGTTATCTCTAACCTTCATAATCATGCTGAAGAAATGTCAAATAGCTACCAATGTTGGCTCGCACATGTTCGATATGATTTATGTCTTAAATTCAAGCAAAGGCGCAAGGACCGGAGAGCACAGCACAGTGGGCACGTCCCCCCCCTTTTTCCAAAATTCAGATTACATTCCTTCAGCTCACCCATCGAGTTGCCGTTTTCGCCGACTGCATAACCAAAAAGTGCCCTTGAATTGGGTAGGTGCTGTACAAAATGAGCAATGGGGTGACCTTTTTTTGGGTCATGATCTGGAATGTTTCTATTCGATCTGCTTTAGGAATACCAAAAAAACAAGATCACAACCAGGGATACCGACTGGTGGTAGCGATGGCAAATTGGTTGAGGTTTTGGGGGGCTATCAAGGTTTCCAGTTGTGTAAGAAATAAGTAATACATAACAAAATTTACCCTGGGTACCAGACTCACTCTATACAAAATAAAGTGAGTCTGGTTCCCAGGGCAAACAAAATTGTACATCCTTTTAAACGATTGCAAGAAAATGACTGCAAAATATATTTTGAATTAGATTTTTAGTTAATCTAAAGGGTATGGTCGCCAAAATTTTCCTGCTCGCTTTGCCCGCAAAGTGCTTCCTCTTACGGTTCTGCCACGAGCCTCCTGAAATCTTTCGGCGGCACTGCTAACAACTAAGTCAGAAAATGATATCTATTTCATTGAAGCCAGGCTGTATGTAACAGCCCTTTTTAACCTTTCTGGAATTTTCATTAGGGTGCCCCTTAAACAGGCTTCTAAGCCATATCGAATGTTTGTTAGAGTGCCCCTTTCAAACTGGTGTCCCCCACTTTCACAATGCTTCCTATGTCTCTGAATTGAAGACGTTTTCAGCCCTGGTCAAAAGATCCAAGACTTCACCCAACACTTTTTTTATGTTGGCATGTGACCCAGCGTTGGTAGTCAAATGATCCAACATTTCACCCAAAATTTCACCTAACATTTTCACATGCAGATCAAAAAAGGACTGGGTAGAAGGTCGCGCTGGAGGCTGTAAAGTTTCGCGACATTTCGATCCGAACAAATTAAAGGCAATCGCTGCTTTATTTATTTATTTTCTCTTTGGATATTTTCACTGTCATCGCTGCCTTTCAGGACGAGTGTCGCATCCCCTGTCAAAGCCGTGGTCTAAATTCGTCCCCCTGCGCTTTCGTGTAGCTCCTCTGTGCTACTGGCTTTTCATTGACACTTTGCGCCTTTCTTTCGCACAGAATCTTTGTATTTCGTTATATTGTCCATAGTTAAAGTGTAACTGATTGTAAGCGAACACGATTGTTGAAACGAACGAAACCAGCGCAAGAAAACAACAACAATGCGATGATTGAATTTTGGCGCTCTTTAACCAACTGCGCTTGTGCAGAGCAAACAATGTTGGCTGTGGTGGTAAAACGATCCAGAATTTTACTCTACACTTCAAAACAATAGGATTGTTGGTTGTCGGATGCCAATAATTTTTACCTCAGTTAAATTTCATCCCACATCAAAAGTGACGAGGTTGGATGCCCAAACATGGTGGTCCAACGATCCAACAATTCGTCAAGCTTGACCAGGGCTTTATTCAAGACGTTTCTTGAATCAAGAAGTTTTCATGCAGCACGGTATTCCTAGCTGACGCTTTTAACATACCGACTGCTTTGGAATTCGTCCTAGTGGATGGATTGTCCTAGTGGGTCCTTTTGAATCCCCACTAGTTGAAGTCCCTAACAAATATTCTGAAGACCTTGCTTGCATTTGGTAAACAGTGCTAGAGTGCACATGAATTCTAATGGGCCAGTACAAAAGAGTTTTTAGCGGTTTGAGTTTCTTAT